ACGCGTCAGCCAAGATCCACGCGCTCCTACGGCTCCTCCTGTAGAAACCAGACCTCGTTGCGACGAGCGTAAGGCTTGATGGGCGGGTCGAAGGTACAGCAGAAGTACTGTTTGCGCTGGAATGGCGCCGACTCACCCAGGGTGCGTGTCAAACGCAGGGCCTCCGCCCTGTACTCGTTCTCCCCGGCAAATCCTCCAAACTGGCTGTGGAGACATTGAAGACGAGCTGAGTGAGACTGAGGACGGAGACACTGTCCACTTCACGGACAGACAAAAACACAGATTTATTACATTCATACAAGTGTCTGACTAGAGTGAGAGGACACCTGAAGTACAGAAGGAGAAGAAAAATAAGATAAAGATTTGAAGCAGTTGGTCTGAAGACCTTGTATTCAATTATCTTCAACATTTCCATGGCCACAGTTTTAAAATGACTGCAGTACTGTGGTACTTCCTGTAGGGGTGTGACGTACAGAGCGTAGACGGTCATGCCCGGCCGCTCCTCGATCCTTATAGAACTGTCGATGGGAGTCGGGGGCTCCTGCTGGTACATGGTGGGAATGCGAATGCCGACCACCAGCCGGCGAGACAGAACGCCGTCGTTCCGTGGGTACACCGTGATGATGATAGGGGTCGCTGTTCCCATGGACTCGCCTAAACCAATGAAACGTACGACAGTTAGTTGCGCAAAACTCCATTTTTTCCAAAGAACAGCTCTCCAACCCCGAACCCAAAGGTCAGGATGTGGTTATTTAGTCACTGCTGCGTGATGTCATTATGCAAATGCCGGCGCTGGAAGCGTTCATCCAGAGGCTCCATTAGAGGTCGCGTTAATTGCACCTCGAGTTAACGGAAAAAAATATTGAAAAACGATGCTGCGCAAAGGTCGTACTTTAACTTTTAGTCTTCTGATCGGAGTCAACAACAGCAAACAACGGACAGAAGAAGACGGAATATTCTAGGACAAAGAAGAGTTCGCAAAAACCCAGTGAGATACGCTGTAATAATATGGAGAATCAAAAAGACGACGTGTCTTCTGTGTGTAACACGGTGGTGCAGTGGTGCGGGCAGGTGTGATTCTACTGTTTCTGTATAATTCAACAGTGAATCCTCCAATTATAGATCTAGATTAAAAAGATTATTGGATTATGAAAAAATTAAAGGATTATCAGGATCTATTTTAGGATTAAGGATGATCAAAATACGGAGCGGGGGCCCCAGTGGGTGACTTCACCTTGTCGGTTGCTCCCGCCGATGTACATGAGCAGCTTCCTCACCAGCTCGCCCGAGACCTGGTCAAAGTTCCGTCCCTCTGAGGACACAGCGGCGTACTTGGACGCATCGTATCGGCGAGTCTCGAAGCTGATGCCGTCCTGGAGAGAGAGAGAGAGAGAGAGAGAGAGAGAGAGAGAGAGAGAGAGAGGAGGATCAGGAGGAGGACACTGTAGTGTGTGTGTAGTCATGCGTGTGTGTTTGTGAGACACTGTACACACGTGGGTGTGTAAAATCAGCGTGGGCGGACGGACGGAGTGAAGCGTCTGATTTGATTTGATTTCCTCTGCTCTGCTGCAGGAACCACTGAGCAAACAGAGGATAATGGGCACCAGGCCTGAGGCCTTACATAACTGTACTTACACACACACACACATACACACACACCATATAACCCCCCCCCGCTCCGCTGCGTTACATGTGATGAATGTGCAGCAGCTTCACTGGACTGTGACGCTGAGCAATAACTTTCATTTGTTTTGACGGAAGCCGTCGTCCTCGTGGACGTCGGTGCAGGTTCTCACACATGTGGCCGCGTGGCCCGCGCTCTGGCAGAGTGTTTTGGACGGCGTTACCGTCGGTTAGAGTCAGACACTTGACCTGATAGACGTCGTTAGCTTATCTACCACAAACTGTCGGGTTTGTTTCTCCTGACAGATTTCTGGGAACACGGGAAGGGACGAGGTTTTCAATGTGGACATTAGTGGACTACAGACGAGTACTAGTACAGACGAGTACAACTAGTACTAGTACAAACTAGTACTAGGTGAATATCAGTGGCTGCTGTTGTGGTTCAGTTATTTATGCTCACAAGGTAAAAAGATAAATCTTATATATTGTTTACAAAAAAAGGTTTTGCTTTTTATAATTTTCTTTTTTATATTTCTCATTCATTTTTTATAATCAATGACTAGTTCTATGTAATAAATAACAAAAAAAAACAACAACAATCAATCCATTATATATAGGTTATTATATTGGTAAATAAATTTAAAATGTATTAATTTCTTGAAAAGATATACCCAAATATAACAAGAAAAAAAATTGACATCATGAAATATAAAAACTATAAAACGATACACTTGTTAACTTTTCATTGATTAAAATATTATTAATTCAAAATATGTAGTTTTTCTTAAAAAAAAAAAAAAAAAAAAGAAAAAAAATCACCCAAACCCACCCGGGAAAACTGGAAAAAAAAGCAAAAAAAAAAATTTTTAAATAATAAACTTTTTTTTTTTCTTCTTCTTTTTTTCTGCTCAGTTCCCACTCACTCAGTGGAAACTCCTGACCTGAGGAGCCCCGTGTCGATGGTCCCTGTAATCAGACTCTGAATCCCCACCGGTGCCTGAACACAGCGTGTTATCATCGGGCCGTGACGTGTCAGAGGTGTCCGCGCTCCTGCACAGCAATTACAACGGCTGGCTGCTCCGCGGCACCGTCATTACCGCGGCCTGACACATAAACAAGTAAACCGAGTCTGGCTTCACTTCAACGCTGCAATTAACGTGTCTGTTAGAGGGCGCTGTTGGCTGTTAGCTGCTCGCTGACGTGTGTTTAGCGGCCTCTCCTGACAAGAGTCTGAACAAACGTCGTCGTCGTAGGGACTGAGGATTGTTTTATTTTTATTTTAAATTTTTATTTAACACAATAGAACCTGTGGCTGTGTGTGTGTGTGTGTGTGTGTGTGTGTGTGGTCTGTGTTCCGTGTCAGCTTTAATTAAGAGTGTTCGGTGACCCAGTCAGACGGGTGTGGGTCGGATCAGGTGTTGGGCTCTGATTTCAATACCTGCTGTTTAAACATCAGTCAGGGCCAGAGATTTGATTAACCTTCAGCTTTGACTTTTCCCACCAGCGGATAAATAACACTTAGAGAAAGCATGAATACTGCAGTGACACTCGGGACATTATACGGTATTTATAAGTGGTCGAACCTGATCCTCCGTGGGTTTTTTTTTTCGGTTTAGCCTCAAACCGTTTTCTCACCTGGTCCTCTGCTCTGACGCTCCACGCCTCCAGAAATGGATTTAGTTTATTTTATTTTTTGATTTCAAAGAGTCTGTAGTCTGCAGGATCAGCGCTGCCTTTAGCTGCGACGTACGTCGTCGTCGGAGGCCTGTGCGGCTGCGGGTCATTTGATTCCCTGCCTGTTTGGTCATTTGTGCTGTCCCTTTGTCTGCCCGTGAAAAGTAAGCTGCCGTTCAGCGGCGGAAACACAATGCCAGTTTCCAAAGCCGTGCCAGTCCAGTGACATTACTTGGCTCCACGCACATATACATTAGCGCGCTGCGGGTCAAAAGGTCACGGGGGGAATGAGGGGGGGAGAAGATGCTCGCAGTGCCTTCAGCGAGCAGCACACATGACCGAGCTTTCTGGAGTGTGTCCAAAGTGTGCAGGACGTGAACGTGACGTGAGGGACGTGGACGCGGAGCAGACGTCACGTCTTCTGAGCACAAACGATTCCAATCCTAACTCTGGACTAAATCTTAAACCTCTCAAATTACCCTCTCACTCAAAGAGGACAATTCAAAATGTCCTCCCAAGGACGACGTGTCCTGCTGTTTGACCTGTCCCACTGATTTATTCACACGTCCTAATTAAATCAATACTCCTGTTTCTCAGCAATTAATGCCGAACCTCGGCCCCAACGTTCAGTTCAGTTTAACTCCCCTCCACTCATGTCTTCATCCTCTCCGTCTCCGTCTTCTTCCTCGTCTACATCTGTCCTACAGCTGTGTCTTTCGTCCTTTTACCGTCACACCGTCTTCACGATGTCAACAAATCTTTTCTGGAGTCAGTTTTTTCTTTTCATACTTCCTGTCACTTCTGTCTCCAATATCCTGTGTCCAATATGTCCCCTGTCTGTCCCCCAGCATGTGTCTCAGCCTGTACTTTAAACTTTACCTGCAAAACGGCCAAATATTGAGCTGACTTTCTGACAGGCTTTAAAAACTGTGGTTTGGTTTTTATAAAAAAATAAATGTCAGCGATGAGTTCTAGTTTGTGATTAACTGCATCACAATGAATGGATTATCAATAAATATTGATCCCTGAATTCTTTCTGTTTACAGTCAGGTCACAGTGAACTCATCCTCATCCTCATCTTCATCCTAATCTGCCTTGTTGACTGGCATCGGACCCCTGACTAGTTCGACCTTTAGCTCCACGCTGAGGCTCAGCGAGTGTCCTGGCAGGTCACGAGAAATGAACCACTGACAGGCGGACTGACAGGAGACAGGTGAGGTGAGGACAACATTCAAAACAAAACGACCCTCATGACAAACTTGGAAAAAAATAAATTAAAAAATCTGCGCATTTGACCGTGCGTAAAGACGGCTGTGCGTCAGGAGCGCACGGGAGAAAGACGCGTCAGGGAAGGAAAAGGACAGTGTATTTGAAACATAATGAAGTTGATCCAACATGTCCACGGCTCACCCACCTTGGTCTCACTGCTCAGCAGTTTGTACTCAGTCTCCTCCGTGTGTCCAAAGATCGTGTTCTTGATCATTCCAAACATGTCGTCTCCGTCGGGGTCGCCTCCTCCTCACTCGACGTCGTTTACTCCTTCTATCTTTAAGTCAGTTTTTTTTTTCTAACCTGGGAGTTGTGTGATGGAGACTTGGAGAGAACAAATGTGAGCGGATGTGCAGCAGAGTCCAGATGTTTGACTCTGACAGTGAGACGTGGTTCCTCCGAACACACACGGAGCAGAACTGTATCTGAAGAAGAAACTAGAGCTGCCGACTCTTCGACCCGCTGGAAAGGAAAGCACACACATCAGCCTCCACTCTGAGGAGGTGGACGCTCTGCCCCCTCCGCACCCCCTCTCCTCCTCCTCCTCCTCCTCCTCACATGTTGACGCGCTCTTGTTCCTCCTCCTTTCACTCGGAGTCTTGAAGTGTCACAGCCTGGTGAAGGGGCCATGACCCACCGACTCATTCAGGTTATATTAATATTACATGAAGTCAGGTAACGGAGTGTCCTCAAGAAGCACTAAACACGTGTTCTTATTGGTTTAGAGACAATGCACGTGATATACTGTACAATTAAAGGCACAATGCCAAACACCTGGAGAACAAGCAGGATTTTTTTATTTTGTTGTTGACTTTTTAGACTAATTTCTTCACTTCTTTACACTCCATCTTTCCTGTATTCCTAATGTGTCATTCTAATACTACGTAAGAGTATTTAGAGCTCATCATTATTGTTGTTTTATTTTTAAATGACGTTTTTTAAATTGGTTTCTTCATCTCAGATAATAAAAAATGTCGATTATGAAACGGGTCTTTAACAAGATGGATTAGGAGGGGTGAGTTTTTAATGAGGCAAGTATTAAATTATGATTTATTTCCAAGTCATTAAAATTATAGAAATGATTTGTTTTACTTAAAAACATTTTCTTTCACTAAACTGGTACTGTTTCACCGCCCACACAGCACTGAAGCAACAGAATGAAAACACAGACTCAGTCATAAGAAAAGCAAATGAGGAAAAGATGAGTGGATGGATTCATAAATCAACACATCCTGAATGTGGAAAATACAGTATGTTCGTGAAAACACACCGTGTTTAAAACATGTATTTTTCAATGGACAAATTTTGTTTAACTTTTGTTTTTATTAATTTTTGGAAAAACATGAAGGGAACAGAAGTCAAAGTAGTTTTAGTTCAATGTATTTACAGCACAAACAGTTTCTTCCTCCAGACGGTCCAATCCAGCACAAGTTTCCAGGCGTCCACTTTCATATATATATATTTTAACCATGAGTGAATTGTTGAATGGAAACCAATCAGAAGCGTCAGTAGAGTCTTGTGAATGAGTTCATAGATGTTGCACGTTTCCCCCCCGGTCCTCACTTCTCCCAGCCTTTTCCTCCTGGCTGAGTGGGCAGCCTGAGCCCCACCATTTGAGCCGCCTCTTCTGTGCTGCGCTCTCCTTTGCCGTGGTACAGGTTGTGTAGGGCCATGTGGTGCCTGGTGGATGTCAGCAAACACAGGTACGTGTTCGACACATGGTGCACCTCCTGCTGGTGACGGCAGAATCTCTCTCCTGTCACCTGTGAGCAGGGGAAAAGGTAAAGATACAGTTAGGGAATCAAATAACTTTTTTTATTTTTATTCACGTGGACTTTGGACTTGGGTGAAATACAGAGTGACAGACTTTTTTTTTTTGCTTCAGTGGTTACGGTACCTTGTAACCATCCTGGTGAGCTACGTTCTTCCAAGTATAAATAATAAAGGCTTTAAGCCTATGTGTATAGGAGACACCAAGGTCTTCATTTCAACACAAAGCTGAAGAAAGAAAGCACTTAAGATAAACAGGGGGTTAATGAAAGGAAACACTGTGATATACGATAAAAGAAACTATTTGAATAATATATATGGTTTGTAAATGCTGGATTTTTTGCCACATATTTTAAAATGATTATGTGACAATGTATGTAATGTAATTATCGTAAAAATACTTTTCCGTAACTTGGAATTTAATTAACATGTTTGTTTTCTCCTTAAATCCTATTAAGTCATGAGCTAAAAATTCAATCATTCATAGACTGCAATGAAATATGCAATATATTGCGATTTTATTGTAATGTGTATTTCAATAGTAATGGAGGCAAAGTAAACACTGGCTGATTAACTATTAATCATGTATTAATTTCACCTGTTTTTTTAACGCGTGCAGTGCGTCGAGCTAAGAGCTAATGTTTACATGTCCTTCACCGTTCGCCGTCACCTTGCGTTACACTCACAGGTCTAAACACTTATAAATGTGAAAATATTAAACTCTAATGTCAGTCTGACATATGTATGTGTCCTCGTTGTTTTCTAACGAAGACGCAGACACTGCGTGTTTTTATTTTATATTTTATATCACAAATGTCAACGGTTCCTGTCGTTAGCTCACGTTAGCAGTGTGATATAGCCTGGCTAACGTAGCCGTTGTTCGCTTGAAATAAAAACTCACCTTATTTTTCCGAAACTGCTCCATGACATAACCGTAGGCCAGGGATTCCCTGTAACTCTGTCCATGTAAAGTCCGTAACTCCTTGAGGATTCCTCTACACACTCGCAGCGGTGATGACAGCGCCGCCATGATGTGATGTGATGTTGGTATCGATTGTTGGTGCCTGGCTTCACAGGCACGCTCAGTCAAACACCGCACGGTCGATCAGAGAGCACCAGTCGACCACAGTGCGGCGGTGTGTCACGTTAAATAATGGCAACCTGGCGGTGAGGGCGGCTTCCTGCAACATTCTACAGGTAAATACAAATGTTTTTATTTTTTACACTCGCTGTCGCCACAATAAATGCGAATGAAGGTGAAGTTTTATTGTGTTTGGTCGCATATTTCTGACGTGCTCGTGGGTTTTCTTTCTGGTTTCGGCACTAATTGTTTGTTCCGTTTAGCGTGGTTTTGTGTGTATTAAGTGTATTCAGACATTGGTTTCGGCACTAATTGTTTGATCCGTTTAGCGTGGTTTTGTGTGTATTAGCCTAAACTGTTTTAGCTTAAACAACCGATTTGATGACGATTACTGTTGTTTAAATGACTAATATCTACTTTTAAAAGTTTGTACCTAGTTTTTTTTGTTTTGTTTCTGTCATTTTGAAAACATTTAAATTTAAATGTTATACACGAGGAGCTGCTGCTGTTTAAGGTGTAGTGAGTGCTCATTAATTCCATAATATATAAAAATATAAAAGATAACGTGAGATACAATTAGAATAGAGCCTTGTCCTTGTGTTGAATGGATGGACAGGTTGACAGATGAGTTCATTTGGGAGTCTCCATTGGCCATTATCGTCCCAGGTGACACCATAAGCAGTGGAAGTCTGCGGAGGTGAAGGTCGACACTGAACCGGCAGAGGAACGAAGGCCAGTAGAGGCAAGATTTGATGTATTTGTGTGTGAATGAGTGGCAGTTTGGAAGATAAAATGGGTCATAAACGATGATAAATATAAGTACCAGGAGCCGACCTTTGGGCAGAGCTCTGGGAAAAAAAAAAAAGGTCAAGAAGGAGGTGAAGAAAGAAAAGGTGGAGTCAACGTTACAGGGGTGACGTGTGACAGGAGGGTGACACGCAAGGTTAAAGAGATGGCAGTGAGACCTGCTATGATGTGTGGTTTGAAACCAGAACGGACAAGATTTGAAATGTCACATATTACAGGAAGAGTACAGGATCCAGCAGTTGGAGAGATGGAGCAGAGGGAGATAAGGTTCAGGTGGTTCAGCATGTGCTGAGTGGAGATAGCAGATGATGTGGACAAAGGATGAAGCTGGCAGACAGAAGACGGAGAGGCACACCATCAAACCGAACAATAGTCGTAATAATTAAGAGTCTGTGTCATTAATATCATATACAGCACAATGAATACAAATAAGACGTGTGTGTGTTAGTGTGTGTGTGTGTGTGTTAGTGTAGTACCCTGCAGCCTCTGCCTTTGAGAGATGTTTCTGACCATCTAATCTTTGTTTGCTTTTAGCTTTGATTTAGTCCACTTTAAAATGGTCATCTGTCACCATGGCAACACAGAGTTAAGCTCAGGACAAATGTAGAGAGAGAGAGTCAGTGAGAGAGGGAGAGAGCGAGAGACTGTTTGATTCACAGCAGCGTAGGTTTGAACCAAAAGCTCTTGAATTTCCTTTTCAAATAAACGTGGTGAAAAACAGAAACGAAGAAAATCAACGGGTGAAACCAGGATAAGAAGCCGCTGAGGTTCAACGCTGAACGATTTGGCCGTCGTACGCTACGTTATCTCTTCGTCTGCAAAAGTCTTATTAATTATCTAATTAAATTAGCAGGTGATTGCTGCCCCCCCCCCAGGGCAGGTCAGAGGTCAACTGGCCAACTCTTAACTCCTTTTGTCTCCTCCTCTAATGGAGGCGCCTGAGTCGATAGCTGACTCTAGGGGGAGCCAGTCTCTTATCAGTTTAGCACACCACTTGGGTTTCGCACATTTGTTGGAAGGCACCCCCCCCACCCCCGCCCCTCCCTCTTTCAATGAATACTAATGCAGTGAGTGGGCCCACCCCCCATCCTCCCGTCCTCACAGGGATGGGCGGGAGAGAGAGAGAGAGACACACACAGAGAGAAAGAGAGAGAGAGAGGAGAGAGAGAGTGAGCAGTTCCAGCTCCGTATCCTTCCTCATGAGGCGGCCAGTGCTTGACTAGCAGCTCCAATGCCTTTTTTTTCCTCCCACTGAGCAATATTGATGATACTGTGCCCTGCTGCTGCTGCTGCTGCTGCTGCTGCAACAATGTCTAACCTGTGTGAGTGGTGCGTGAGACCCGTCCAGAGTTGAAGCAGAGAAGAAAAGGACATCTGTGGCTCTTTGTCATCTGGATGGGAAGTCTTTTTTGGGAGGAGGGACAGAAGACAGCAGAAGGCAGCCGGGGAAGGGGAAAAACTGGCACCCGCCGTTCCCCTTCTCCACAGACAGACTGGAGACGACGGAGGCCACTGGAGTATTTGCTTTTATCTTCCGTTTTTTGTTCTTTTTTTTCCTCATCGCACTGCTGGGAGGTGCTTTACCTTTTCATTTGCTCGCTCTCTCGGTCCTCTGTCTTCTCATCTATTTCGCCATTTACCTGGTCAACAATTTCTTCTATTTATGAGCCAGACGAGGAGGGGGAGAGAGAGAGAGGCAGAGAGACAGAGAGAAAGAGAAAGAGGAGGGGGATTTTTTTTTTTTGGGCCCCTCTATCCTCTTTTTTTTTTCCTCCCCCCTTCATTCATTCAT